CTACTACTACTATTTCATTCCATTCCAATCGCAGCAACCGGTCGCTCAGCTTGGCGTCAGGTACATGGACTAGTACTACTACTACTACTACTACTACTACTACTACCACTACTACCACTATTACCACTACGAGTACTACTACTACTACTACTACTACTACTACCACTACTACCGCTACGACCACTACTACCACTACTACCACTGCTACTACTTCTACCACTACTACCACTACTACCACTGCTACCACTACGAGTACTACTACTACTACTACTACTGCTACTACTACTACTACTGCTACTACTGTATACTACTACTACTACTACCACTACTACTACTACTACTACTACTACCACTACTACTTCTACTACTACTACTACTGCTACTAGTACTGCTACTACTGCTACTACTACTATGACGACGACGACGACTACTACTACTGCTGCTACTACTACTGCTACTGCTGCTACTCACAGCTCTTGGGTCGCTCTTCCTTTTCCCTTTCACCTGGATCGGTGAATCCAAGACGCCTGAGAGACCATTAGCAGGGAGATGTTGTAGGAATAAAGCATCCTCTGCAGTTCTGGCACGTGCGCACCGCACTTACAGTAATCCGACAACTTCTTTCCTCAGTCTTCGAGATGGCGAGCATGCCACGCTTGCTGCTCATTCCGCTGCTGGGCACCGTTCCCGCTCTGGCACTCAGACAGGAGATGGCGCTGGCCCCTTCTGGGCAGGCATCGCAGAAAGATGAGGGCATCTCGGCCGCCGCCTCCACGCAATGCCCCCTTGCACGTGGACGACGTGGACGGGTTCCTGAAGGAGGAGTGCAGCTCTGCCATGTATGGCTTCACCAAATTTTGGGAAGAGTTCGCGGCCAGCAACCTTGGTCGTTGGCATGAAAAACCGAGGGAGCTCGGAGCTGGGCAGGCGCTGGCCTTCAAGAAGGACCTCGCAGATCGCATCATAGAGGCCTTCGCCTTGCAGTGCACGGTGAAAAAGTGTGCGGAACCCGCCTACTTCGAAGCCTGCGGCGACCGCCATGCACGCCTAAGCTGCAAGGAGATCCTCGGCGGCTTCTTTTGGGATGTTTCAATGGAAATTATGCAGAAGTGGGCGCTCGACATCATCTTTCAACTGCAGCAGCACGCCGGCAAAGCTGTCTACTTCGGTCTCGACTGGTCGAACGACGTGTTCAATAAAGTCAAAGATTGTGACCTCCAGTGCTAGCACCACAACTCTTGCGTGGTGCTTCTTTCGCAGACGGGCCGCGAGCTCTGAGAAGAAAGGCAATGGAGGGTGCTCACCTTGTGGAGCACTCGCTGCATGCTGTGATGTACTGTACGATGTGGTACAGTATTGCATGGGGCAGTACAGAATACCTGGGCGCAGGGACCACCAGCTCTTCAAAGCAGCGCGCTCCTGAACATGGTAAAATTTGGAGCGCTGTTGCGGGGCCTTTTGAACTCTAGGGGGTTCGGTGTAAACGTTTAGGGCTCTAGGCTTGAGAGGAATTCCCGAGATTGTGGCAGTAGGTGCGGCGCTATAATGTATAATGAAAAGTTCGGGGACTGCCCTCATGTCTGCTGCTGCTACTAATAGTTCTAATTCTAATAACAGCAATAATGATGATGACAATAGCAATATGGGAAATAATGAGAAGAGTATCTTAACAATATGAGTAGTCATAAGACTAGTAAGAAAATAATGATCATGAAAAATAACAACAACAATAATAATGATAATAATAAGAAAAATAAGGCCAATGGCAACAGCAACAGCTCCTGCTCACGAGGCGGCCCTGCCAAGCTTTGCGGTGGATAAGCGCGTCGAAGACCTGCAGCAACGGTTGGCAGGCCTTTGTTTCGGGTTTAGGGATTCAGGTTCAGGGCTTAGGGATTACCATTTAGGGTTCAGGAATTAAGGATTAAGCTTTTACGGTTTAGGGGCGCTAGTTTGACTTGTGAGGTTTATGTCAGTTCCGGCCATGTTACTTGGACTTGCTTGGGTTCCGGTGGTTGCAGCTTTAGATCCTCGGGGTGTATGTTTTGCGGTATGCCCATTCTTGAAGCGCGTGTTTGATTTCCCGTTGTGGTCTATAGTCCATCGTTGGGGGCTGCACGACACGAGCTCAAACTATGGGATGATAGGTATGGCCAGAATGGCAGCGAACGGTTGAAATTTGCATCTTATGAACTAGTGAGTTAGGCGAGGCAAACTATTGCAGGAGTCATCAGCATTCTGCAGAAGCAGGCGAAATGCATGTCATCTCGGCCCACCTACAGCATTCACGGCCGAAGCAATGCTTTGGCTCTTCATACCTATGCTCCGGGATCTTGGCTTTCTTTCCTCCAGCAAAGCTAAGCTGATTGTTGCTGTGAGCCATCCTACTGTGGAAACCTGCCAGACCTCTTGGAATCTTCCGATGCAGCGCGGGGTCGCGGTCTTGGCACGGTTGCATCTCCTCCTTGCAAACCGCCGAGCACCCAAAGGTACCATTGAGAAGCTCGGCCTGCGACTGAGATTGAGAATCAAGCAGAAAAAATCCCGAAGAACTTGCTTGCCTGATCAGGTGGCTACCCAGCCTGCCACTGGAGATTTTTGAGGCAGGGTCTGCCAAAATGCAGGGCCAAGTGCGGCCATAACCTATGAACTGTAAACCTCCACAAGAGCCATAATGCGTCTATCTATCTATCTATCTATCTATCTATCTATCTGTCTACCTATCTACCTATCTATATATTCATCTATCTATCTAACCTAACTATCTATCTATAGGTAATCATCTATGTACACAAAAGCATGTTTGCTTATGCAGACACGTTGAGAGTCGAAATGCACAGGGCCAGTGGCTACAGCTTGGACGCTGCAGAGCAAAAGCTTCGGGAGACCGTGGAGTTTCGGGTGCGAGAAGGCGAGGTGTACGAGACTCCGCCTATCTATCTACATACATATATAAATATCTGTACATATGGACATGAATATATATATATATAAGCTCTAACACTCTGTCACTATGTGTTGTTATTTGTGTATCTCTATTTCTGCATATATGTGCATATGTATATACATATATACACATACATATCACACACGCATATATCTATGTATGTATATCTATGTATGTATGTATACATATATAAATATGTCTGAGCAAAGTAGCTTTAGGTTTGTGTTGCCGATCTTCAATGGTTTTTCTATTGGATAGGGTGTGCCTACTAGACACGGGTTTTCCTCTTAGATGGCGTTTACCTACTCGACAATGGTTTCCTACTAGACAGTATTTACCCATGAGCTATCGGTTTTCCTATCACACAAAGGTTCAGGGTTGCCTTGCTTTCTGTTCCACTCTATCACCTCAATTTGCGTCATACTGTATTTATATGTATACTATGTAGTCATATATTCCACCGTATCGCGCCCTGCTGCATGTGTATGACTGCCAGGAGTCAACAAGCTCTTGCAGACACCCGCAGCAAAGCAGGCCCGGGTCCGACCAGAAGACTTCTATCTTTGTAGTGCCGAAGACGAGTAGCTGTTAGAGTTAGAGGTGATCTCTTGTCTCAAAGTAGCTATCCTTACATAGCATATAATTTGCGTTGAGGTGCATGAGCAGCTTCGTGAGGTTTGGCCAGAGGTTGGGCAGAAGAACCAAGCCTACTGCACAGTTGCGCTTAGACCTGTCTCAGAGGTTAACCTGGGCATTACGGGCGATGGGAGCCCCATCTCCTTCTTCGATGTTGGCAAGGTGCGCTTGAAGCGTTTGACAGCCCTCTCTTAGAGCTCTCGTATAGGGAGAGAGAGAGAGAGAGAGGGAGATAGATAGATAGATAGATAGATAGATATATATATATATATGTATATAGATGTATATATAGATGAATTATATGTATATAGATATTCGTTTATCAGTAAACGTCCTCCCTCCCAAAGCCTCAGGCTGTGCGCTTTCTTCAGCTGGGAGTCGATGAGGCAGAAAGAGCTGTTTGGTCAGTGTTGGAGTCCTCGTTCCCTGACTGCCAGGAGCGCTTGCGCCTGTTTTGGCTCACGTGGATGGAGCGGAGCTACGAAATTCAGTGCCATGGACGTCGGATGGCCACAGGCTGGGCAGAATTCCTGAATTATTTACGCAAAAATGCTGAGACCTCTGGCTCCCGAGCTCAGGCAGCAGCATAGATCCTCATGACATACCTGGAACAGTGGTCGTGTACGACTTGAAAGAGCTGCGGCTTTCGCAGATCACGTGGTTTGCTTAGTGTGCTTCCCCGCAATCTCTCGTGACGCGGACATGAGAAACCTGATGAGCAAACTCGGGGTCCAGGTCCTGCTTATCGGGTCTTCACCAGTTTTGCCGAGTGGCTGGCTCACTTGTATGCGAAGTGCCTGTTCCACATCTTCGAAGGACAGTCACTTACTCTCCGTCTGAGGTTCTCGGTCTTGCAGAGAAGCACTACCCCTGCGCCTTGCGAAAGGCCCCAACTTTATGACGCTCAATGCCGAATGTGTCATGCATACTGTAGCATATATGATATATTCAGCACATGATATGTGGCCGTAAAATGCAAGGTACTGTAGAGTGTAGAGTTCATAGTATGTAGCATATATCATGCAAGAGTGAACAAAACATACGCAGCATGTACGGTCCATTGTATCTGCAAAGTTGCTGCAAAGTTTGCAACATATAACTCAGTTTATGCCAAACAAACGAACTAGACAACACATATTTGTTGTAAGAAGCATAGAAACAAGCAAATCGACAAAACAAGTCTGTAAATTGAAGAAATGTACGTATATGTAGTATGTGTATATGTACATATATATATATATATATTGGAAAGCACATAGCAGAGAAGATGGTATACACAAATATATGCACATACATGTCCGTATATACATATATATATATATATATATACGAATAATGCAAGTATAGCCGTAAATACACACTGTATACAACAATCACTAGAAAGTCCGTAGTGAGTATTGTCAAAAGGATAACAGGAAGTAGAAAGCACGCAGTCTATACACTATGGGTTTCAAAAGAGTATATAATAGGTAGTTTGTATCAGAAAGGGCATGAGGTATAGGGCCAGATATAAGATATAAGGGTGCAATGTGATATGTATATAGCTTACAGTACATCATGATCTGCCATCTGAGCACCTATATATATACACATACATTGCTATTTGGGGTTTGTAAGCATGTGCACACTTGCACAAATGCCTTTATTCAACAGGGAACAGATAGGTACAAGATACGACAGGCAATCGAACACACATCATACATGTTACACATTCTACGACGTTCGGTGTACAATATGCAATATGTAAGATAGGTCACGTGATATGCAACATGCTTTGTGCATCTTAAAGCAGATAGTAGAGTATGTTTACACCGCATATGACCTTTATTCCAAAGCATACAACATACAATGGATAGTGCAACGAATATGCAGTAAATTCTACTGTGTGTAACATATATTACATCGTATGTAATACGCAGTATATCAGATATAATATAAACGGTTTAAAATATAGTAGATACGAAATCACACTATGTAATGTATACTTATTTATCTACTGTAACAGCTCACTAGCTGTTAGCTACTGTAAGTACTATCTCTCGTCGAATCACTAAGACCGGACATATACCACTCATGACACCCCAAATCGCGTATCGAATTCAATAGTTCGGATTTCTAACAACAATTACTAACATAATCTACTACCTAGTGTCCGATACATAATGTCTAATACCTAGTATCTGATATCTAATGTTCGTACCCAGTTGGATCTCATAGCTAATATATCATACATACATACATACATACATACATACATACATACATACATACATACATACATATATATATATATATATATGATATGTTTGTATATGTCGAGTTTTGTCAGAATGTTGTCATACATCATGTCAGACGCAGTATATACAGACATGCACGTGCGTACGACAGTATGTATGCTCTTCAAAAATCCATAGCAGAGCGCAAGGCCATCGTCTTGAACGCGCCCTCGGTCTTCAGCAGGATGGTCTGGCCTGTGGTACAGAAGGCCCCGTTTAAATTGCGAATCCTCGCCACTGGGTACCTAGGGTTTAGGGTTTAGGGCCATGGTATGCATGTAAATGGGTGGAAGAGCTTGCGCAAAGACAGAAAGCAGCTGCGAAGGTGCTGGATGCGGACACACGGGCTAACGTGGTGGTTTGCGAGTCTCTCCAGGTGCTCAAGTTGCATTCTGTTCGCTTGTACACCCTGGGACCCTGACTGCCTAGAATTACAGCCATAGAGCCTCCTTTTGAATGCACAGGGAGGTCATGGTTTACTGAGCTTTGAACTTCGCACTTCGCCTTTTGCAAGCTTGCGGGTGAGCATTAAGCGGTCACAATCGGAAGCTTCTGGTGCAGGCGTTGTCCTATGAGGAGCTGGGCTTCAGCACGATGCCTGGCGGTCTTATGTCTTCAGGTTCCTCCTGGTATCATGTTGCGTTCTGGCGCGATACAGTCGATCAAGCCACACTCGTACTTAGGTCCGAAAGATGTACAACAACTGCTGGCTGGGAGAGTGTGACTCCCTGATTTTCCAAATGTTTGCAATTGGCTTCGCGGCATCTGCATCGCCCTGCCTTGATTGATTCGATGCTGATAGGAATAAAAACAGCGTAGAAGGCTGGTTTGACCCTTGCGATGCGCTGCGTAGAGAGGGCTGCTGGCGACAGCCATGACTTGGGGCTTTCGGGTGTAGCGACGACCGAAAGCAAGTGCAGATATCTGAAAGCCCCTGGCTAGAATTTGTACTTTATATATCCCCTTCCATCACAAATGCACGTTTCAATGTAGGTTGCCGAAGAGGGACTGGCAGCTGTCGCACACAACTCGGACGCATGAGTGAACAACTGAGCTCTGGATTTGATTTTGTGGTGTGGGACAGGCGTGTCGAAACCTCTGATGACTTCTGTTCCAACCTGGTTTGCAGGGCTCACAAGTCAGTCTCTGCAGGAAGCGCCACAAGCCTTCCTCGTTTTCAGTGTTGCGCATGGCGAAGCCTGTGAGAATATGGAGCTCGTTTGCTAGTGGCCGCGGCCTTCGGCGAACTACAGTACAACTTCCTTTCTTTGTCAGGTCGGTAGAGGGATATGGACTTCTTGAGACGTGCACGGGCCTCGTGCCGAGAGAATTGGTCCATGAGACATGGATTGCAATGGCATTAGGTGAACATGGCGCATCTGGCTGCCTTGCAGCTGTGGTGCGGCCCCGGCAACATGCTCCTGCATTCAGAATTCTTTAGACTAGACTTGACAGGACACAGGCACTGGTGATGTCATGGGCCCAAAGGCCTGACCTTAGAGCGGTGTCGTGTCCAAAAGTTCTCTTTGGCATGGGCAGGTCTCCGTGGATCGCTTGCTTTCCCTCCTGGATGTCAAGGAGCCGCTATGTTTGATCCTAACAATATTGCATGTTTTACGTCGCAGAGGACCGGAGGGTGTCCTTGTGGCAGATAACGCACATACTTGCAGAGTACCACAGATGGCTTCTGGCATGACATGGACATCGACGACAATCCGCGAACATGAGTGCTGGGACAGCAGGGGAGCGAAGTACGATTTTGTTTCGAGCCCTGCAGCATGAAAGTCATTTGTCACTCTTTCATGCTGTGGACATGCATTCACTGGAGCTTTTCGATTGAATCATTGAAGCCATCTCTAGCAAATCGCAGGGACAGGTTAGATTTCCTGTTTTTCCTCGTCATTTGGCATTCTTGTCTGCCTGCCTGACCTCGCCCCTCCTTCCCAATGTGACAACTTGGGTATGCGAAGTAATATGCATGTTTTTCTCCGTTTCTTCTGTAAGTCCTTGTCCGGCACTGTTCTACTGTGCTGTCCCTGTGGTAGTTTGCAGGCAAGGGAGCTTCATGCTCTGAGCACCTTGCCGAGTGCAGGCAGACTGCGATCTGAAAAAGATGCCCAGCGTTGAGTTCCGCTTCCAGGGCTTGCACGACAGGACTCTGAGCTTTATATGGGCGTTGTTACTGTTGGTTTGCAGCATGCAAACAGTGTTGTTTGATGTCGGACTGGACGAGGATCGTGTCGTTGAGCATGGCGCCGGAGGACTACATTGACAGAACGCGCGGGATTTGTGATGTCTCCATTTCTGTGATGGATATGCCACCACAGAAGCCCCAAGTGTGGGTCATTGGGCAACCGCTGCTGCGGAAGTATGTGTCTGTGTATGACATGAAGGCGCGGAAAGTAGGGTTTGGCCTAGCCAGCCGGCAAAGGGAGGCCACAACCAGGCAAATGCCTTTGTCGGACGCAGACAGTTTCCTGCAGTCTGCGCAGAATTCAGGATTTCAGGTCGTGAGGGAGCGGAAGATGCGATTACGAAGCTCCAGAGACAGAGAGTAGTCATTGCGGATGTGTAGCAGGCCCATGCAGGCCTTCAGCATTCCTTTAAGATTCGGACATGCATGCCGACATGACAGACTGTGCCCCAAAGGGCGCTGCTGATTACCAGAGTGGGCAAACCGTTGGCATATCAAGTCAGTGTATTTGCAAGACCAAGCCGCTTGCTTAGAAATTTGGCCACGGATGACCTGCCCCACCTGTACGAGTTGCAGCCACCAGTGCTGCGACTAGAACCATGACGAGACGTGGGTACATGATCGTGCGTTAGGAAAATTGAAATAGGGTGATGAGGGTTCTCTGCACGGACTGCATCTGCACGTGTGACTCTGTGATGCAGCTAGTAACATAATGAATAGCATATAAGAACACTTAATACTATATGGTATTATATCGAATCATATCATACTATACTCTCCTATACTATACTATAATATAATCAGATCTAGTATACCATATTATGATACAGCAATACAACACAATATCAAATAACATGATATTACCACGATATAACAAAAAATCAAACATAACTGCGAAGCATCTTTTCGAGCTGGGAGAAGAAACCACCAAAGCTTTGGGGACCTTCCTTCGCCGCGTCGTCAATGGTTTCCGATAGGCCTAAACCCTATACCTACTACCCTAAAGGCTCTAGGTGTGAGAGGACCTCAGCAGTTGGAAAAAAGGTGTCAACAAAAAAACCCTTAGACCCTAAACCCTAAGCCCTAAAACCTAAGCCCTAAGCCCTAAACCCTACAGCTTGCAGCTGTCTAATGTGTTACTGCTGCCGTCCCGGCTCTCGGGCATCAGTTTTTTGTTACGGAACACTTTGATGCGAACTAGGGAAGCAACCTCCATGTCTGCCGGTGGCGGCTTCAAGACGGTGTCAACATTCAACGTCGGCGCAACTTTCCTTGCTGTATTCGCCATCGTGCAAGTCCTTTGGTTTGCAGCCATGGTTTGTAAAAAGCCAGCAGCAAGAAGTGCCCCCTTGCTGTTTCCAAGATGATGCCAATCACTCGAATTGTGATCAGACGCTGGAGGTTCTCCTGGAGATCCTTCAGTTGCGGCCGCGGCAACCAGAGCCGGACGAACGACAAAGACATTGAAGAGCAGTGCCGCGAAGCAGAGCGCGCCAAGGCAGGAGTGAGTTGCACGCAACAAGGTGACCCCGTCAGCTGTGGACAGAGAGACCTTTTTTTGTCGTTCCCAGCACCTTGCAGGAATGTGTCTGCTTCTGTAGACATGCCACTCTTCGATTCATCCGCTTACCCACAAACTCATTATGTTAGATTATTAGATCAGATTATATTATATTATATTATAGTATAGTATAGTATAGTATAGTATAGTATAGTATGATATGATATAATATAGTACTATAGAACCTGAATGCTGTCTCTTGGAGGCGGGCTTCGCAAAGAAAAGCAAGTCCAGGCCCGGCTGTGTCATCAGGGCGCTTGCCGAAGGCTCAAGCGGTTTTATGTGGGGTTTAGGGCCTGGGGTTTAGGGTTTAGGGGTTTAGGGTTTAGGGGTTTAGGGCTTACGGTTTAGGGGTTTAGGGTTTACGGGTTTTGGGTTTAGTGTTTAGCGTTTGTAGGCATCCTGCAGTTTGCAGTTTGCTAGCAAGGGGCAGCGTGCTCTGCGCGCTCGTAGATTGTCGGTGCCCCCGGCCGGATTGCCCAGCAGATGCGCCGCAGTGCCAACCATTTCGCTCGTAGTCGCTGGGGAGATATGACACATTGGCCAAAATACTGCTTTCGCACAGGATTCCAGGTTTCCCTGAATGAAGATTTTGCCACCGTCTGCATGACAGGCTTCGGCTCACCCTGCCAGTCGCAGCCTCTCCGCCTTCCCCCTGCATTCGCAAGCCGTGCGGGTGCCTCAAGTGCCTCCCTCCTCCGATCTGCACATGTACCTGCAGCCTTGCATTCTGCAACATTCCTTGGCTGCGGGAATGCTGGTCTCCTTCATCCTTTCTTCGGATGGAACTCAACGCCCGCCACATTTGCACAAAGTACCAGGAGCTTTCGTTTCGTTCACCCAGCTGAACTTGTTTTTTGTCCCGCTGCAGCATACCGATGTGCGCCTGTTAAGGGATATCGAAGATCTGAGCCAACCAGAACCTCCTCAGGCCAATGTCGAAATTCAGGTTCAGTATAATTCAGATATCGCACATTGCGTCCGTCCAAAGGAGTCTAACGTCTGGGTGATGCGCCCCTCTTGGTGCCACTGCCAGCTCCTTCTCGTTCTGTCAGCATCGATCTTTGCCTTGTCAAGTGCTGGCACGGCTTTGGTTCCCTGCTGCATGTCCCTTCGGCCAGCATATACCTTCACTTTCCTTCGCCGGAACTTCCACGGCGATGCATTGCTTGGATTCGAAGTATTTTAGATGTCTTTCCTTCACCGAGCAACTGACAGCAGTTTACCACCGCCGCCCTCTCCTCCTGGAAAGGCCCGAAGGCATCTCTCTGGAACGCCGGCTCCGACTGCACGACGAAGCGACGCCAAACTTCACTCCACCTCGCTCACCAGATTTGCAACCACGGCTACCGGAGCATGATGCAGATCCGTCGCCCTGTCAAGTTGCCCACCCGTCTGCGAGCGAAACTCGCGGTTGTGCCTGACGGCGCCAGCTGGCAAGTCCATGATACTGGCTTGATCTGGCTTGCGTGGGAAACGTCATGTGCCCACCAACTTGGCCCTTGTTTCGCCGACCTCGGGTCCATGCGGCGCCCGGCTGCGCTTGCGACATGTGCAAGATTGTTCGCTGCCCTCAGGATTTGTGGTGTCGGATAGCCTGCCGAAATGCCTGTTGGGGCCGTGGAATCGATCTCAAAATTGCTTGTCGAAATTATTTGGGATCTTGCCGCGACGTTCTACCTCTGAGTTGTTTGCAGTCGCCCAAAACTTGCGACACTTGCGACTCGGCATTCCTTGGTTCAGTTCTGATGGCATTCTGCGTTCGCCCAGAATTGTTCTGCATATGTACTGCTGAACTGATTGGACAACATTTTGCATCATTTGTTTTGTGGCACTGTTTTCGCACAGTGCGTCGCAACATGTCGCAAACTCAAATACCAGCGGTGCCTGAAACCACAACTCGACTTCCGCCGTCGTTTGCGTCTCCCACTCCCCCTTCCTGTACATCATCGCGGCCCATCTCCGGATGTGGTAGGATCGTCGATGTGTTCGGCAAGTTTGCCTTGGCCTGGCCTCGCACTGGGCTCTTGGCTCGGCGAGCAAAGATCGTCGAACGAGCGTGGGGGAGGGTCGCGCGTGAAACAGTTGCTGCATACGGCCACGAAATGCTGCAGCAATGGCTCTCCAACACCACTGCTGCTGATTCCGCACCGGAGACCGGAGGACAGGCGCCGCCTTGTGCTGTTTTGGTTAAGGCTAGCGGAAGCAGGCATCGCGGGCTCGATGTGGAAGGTATTGGGTGACCTCTTCACAGGCACCTTTGCTAGGGTTGTGGTAAAATGGTGTGCTCTCGCAGCCATGGGCCGAAACAGCGGGCGTTCGTCAGGGCAGCGTGCTCGGACCACTTCTGTTTACCACCTTGTTCAACAGCATTTCCACGACTGCGCAGGGCTTGCCCCGTGGTCCCGGAAACCTGTTATTTGGGTGTCGTCTTCCAGTCCTCCCGGAGGTGGAGCAAGCACGGCGAGCGTCTTTATGCGAACAGCAATCGTAAATTTCATCAGTTCACGACATGGGCGGAATCGCCACCTGCAGACAGGCTTTCGGCGCAGCTTGTTCCAGTCATATGTGCTCGCCTCTGCACGGTTGTCAGTTCCTCAGCACTAGTACTGTAGTTTTTCTGGACAAGAAGCTGCGTCAGTGGGGCCGTCGCCTCTTGCAGTAGCTTCCTGGGGCCGTGGGCGCGGCCGTGTTAGGTGAGACGACCTCCACGTCGTCACGGTCTCGAATCGCGCGGCAGCGCGAGTGTACAAGGCGGCAGGCGGAGCCGCACCACCTGGCACAGACGTCATGAGCTCGGACATTTGGTGTGGCGACCTCCCCCGGCTCAGCGATGCTCAGCGTGGGGTTCGCGGGGAGCGCAGCACCTGCTCCGAAATGTCCCGCATATGCTCGTGCTCACGACGATGCATTCTGGACCATTGTCAAATGCCTGTTCGGTGACCAGCGCCCGGCGAGGCCGATGCCTGGGATGTTGCTCGCGAGGTCGCTTTTCTGCCGTCGAACCTTGGAGGTCTCGGCTTCTGGGAAGCAGGCCGGCAACGATACCCCGAAACCGCAGACCGGCTCGTGCGCGAACCGGAGTCGCCTTGCTTGGGGGCAGCTGCGAAGGCTGCAAACCAGCTTAGTCAGAGCTTAGTGGGGCGTGCAAGGCGCTGTAATCCAAGCGGCTGTGGTGAGCTAAACTTCGGAAGGCTTGCCTGCCAGCGACATGCCGTTCTCGCACCTCGCACTTCGTTTCGAGAGGCCGTGGCGGCCCTCCGCGCCACAGTGCCGTTCCATGGTGGGCAAGGGCAGCCCCTAACTGCAGCGTAAGGAGTTGCGGCACGCCACATGCAGCGGAAAAAGAAGCTAGGTTGGGCCCCTTTCGCTGCGAGGTCTTGAGAAGTCCGTGGAGTTTGTTTGGACGCCTATGCTGTTCTCATCCGGCTGGCGGTTGCAGGATTCTTGCTGCAATCGTCGTTCGTTATGCTGTATAACGAACGCCACACCGGAACCCAGGAAGTTTGACGTTGGTAAAAGGCGTGACGAGTGTACGAGCGTCGCTGGGCTGCAGCGAAAGAACCGTGAGTGAACCGTGGCTGCTTGGAGACGTTGTTGCAGGTGCCCGGCTTTAGATCGGCATGCTGTTGTTGCGCGTCGGGTTGAAGTCGCGGCTGTGCCATCGTTTTGTTTTTGTTGGGTGAAGGTCATCATTGTGTCATCCCAGGCTTCATGGCTCACGTGTGCCCGCGTCCATAGTCCGAGAGTCGACATTTAAGCGTGTGTCGAGTCCGGCATTCATTGTTGGTAGGCTTGAATCG